TGTTGTTTTCTTCAAAGTAATTTGATATTATAATGTACTTTATCTTATTTTATACTAAATGTCTTATTGTTTTGTATTTGTCTTGTACTATTTACTTTATTTCTTATATTTTACCATCTGCTTATACTATTTAGTTTCTATTTTTTCTTATATTAGCATCTTGATTATATATCATCTATTATCTGTCTATATACATCTCATTGTTTTGTAATTTTTTCTTTCTTGATATTTTTTTTTTTATACATTTTTTTCCTTTTTTGGAGAAGTAGTATTTCAACAATCATTGTAAATTTGCAGTGGAAGGAAATATTTTGAATTTTAACCCAGAAATTGCAACAACAACTGTAGGTAAGTAAATCTGAAGTAAAAATCATTTAACCATGTGAAATACAAATAAAGAAGCTATTATATCCCATAAAACTTTTATTAATAGATTTATTAACAAAATTTTGATCGTAATCTATTCTTTTCTAGATGATTTGAAAAACATCTTGGAAGGTAAAGGTTCATCATAAATTAAGGAGATTCTAAAGTGATTCTGCCTTAGCGACTGAATTAAGGTTGCACAACGTTTTACATTAAATAAATATTACTACGAAAAGCCGTAAATTTAATCGATAAAGCTGAATCATTTTATGATCTCCTTAAACTTCAGAAAAATAATAAAATGTTTCAACATCATAAGATATGTTGATCTCTTTACAGAAAAAGTTTCCATTATCATTAGAGCCATAGCAAAACTTCAAGTAACTCTGCGTGTTATTGAAGAACATCTTCAAAATCTGAGTACTACTCACATTAACAAACATCAATCAACTCGCGTTGATGAAATCCAATGGCCTATATCTCTTCAAAAAACCGAGGAAATTACTACATTTGATAAAAAACTGAAAGAGGAGCAAAACTTGTGTTCTAGCTTTGTTAGTACTTGGAAACATTTGAAAATTAATTTCTCTCCTTAACATATAAATTGCATGATAATGAATGATTGATAAAACTTTTTTCCAGGTTACTTTTTTACGAGATATTGGAGGCAATGGCCCAAAAGAACACACTCAGCGTTGTTTGCGAAGAGTTTTTAGCAATAATGTTGCAAAACAATGCTCGTGGTTTGGATTGAGAAACAATTACAAACTTTGTGATCTGAAAATCATACAGTGTATAAATGGTGGTTGTTAAATTTTTCTCTTTATGCATGCGAATATATCGAGACACTTATATGCTTATAAATTCATAATCATAAATACATTATAACAGATGTAATTAAAGACAAGTATTGCAATAATACTGCAAAAGAGTTCGAAAATACTGTCAGCGAATGGTTCCGACAAGGCAGTCAGCGACATGCTAGAGAAATTGAACAAGCTAAAAAA